GGCTGTAAAGATGATAGCCACTTTCGGCTAAGAGTCGGCTCCCAACACATGACAGCCAGGATACATAGGGAGACTGTCTCAAAAACCTCAGCGACATGACACTTACCTGTAATCCCCAGCACTGATGTCAAGAGAATGAGCTTGAGTCATTCTTAGCTAGAAACAGACAAGTCTGCAGAGATGGCTCAGTGGGTAAGTGTATTTATTGTTCAAGCATGTCTTCACATGTATGCACGCACACACACACATCCCAAAAATACAAACAGCTGTTCGAGGGCTAGCTAGATGGCTTAATGGATCTGGAAGCACGTCTATGCAGATCTGACGACCTGAGTTTCATCCCCAGAATCCGCAGATGGCATATGGTGGCAGGACACACGCCCACACCCATCAAACCTAACTTGTTTACTCTAAGTGATACTTTGATTTGAATGAGATTTTTTTTAACTCCCAAGAGCTTTCCTCAGAGCTACACACACAAATGCACAAGTACACATACTCATTTATTTGTGGTAAAGCCTTTCAGTATAAGTTCATCTTTTTTGTTGTTTTCTTGAAACACGGTTTCTCTGTGTAGCTGTAGAACTGGTTTTGTAGAACAGGCTGGCCTCAAACTCAGAGATCTGCCTGCCTCTGCCTCCCAAGTGCTGGGACTAACGATGTACACAATGCCCAGCCCTTTTTAAAAATTTTGAGACAGGGTCTCACTATATAGCCCTAGCTGGTCTGGAACTCTGGAAGGCACATCGTCACATCTGGCCTTGGAGGTGGCCTTTGATTCCTGTCCTTTCTTGGTTTATTGACTCTGCTTTCTACTTACTGTGAGGCTATGAATTCTCAGTATCCTGATCTAGCCACTCTGCCTATTGCTTGCTGCTTCCAAGCCATGAAGAACTTAGCCCTCTGAAACTGTAACAGCCTAATAAAGTCTTCTGTAAGTTGAGTGGTCATGGTATTTTATCAGAGCAACAGTACAGTAGCTAATTCAGTTGGTTCTTAGACAGGGTCTCACTGTATGGCTCTGACTAGCCTTGAACTCAGAGGCCCATTTGCCTCTGTTTCCCAAGTGCTGGGATTAAAGGTGTGGAACACCGCTGGGCAGTGGTGGCTCATGCCTTTAATCCCAGCACTTGGGAGGCAGAGGCAGGCAGATTTCTGAGTTCCAGGACAGCCAGGGCTACACAGAGAAACCCTGTCTCGGAAAAAAAAAAAAAAAAAAAAAAAAAAAAAAGATGTGGAACACCACACCTGGCACAAATAAATAAAAAAATAATTAAAACTTAGCTGTTTACAGCTATGTTAATTAACAGTGTGGTTACATTTTCTGATGGGATGTGACTTATACAAGGTCATCCGAGTGCAGGAAAGAATCAAGGCTAACAATGTGCTAGTTAGTTTTGGTCAACTTAACACCAACGAGAATTATCTGACACAATTGAGAAAAATGTCTCCATAAGATTGCCTGTAGGAAAGTCCGTAGGGCAAAAGATTTATTCGGATTTATCTGCTGGAGAGATGGCTCAGTGGTCAAGAGCACTCAGAGGTCCTGAGTTCAATTCCTAGCACCCACATGGCAGCTCAGACCTGTCCAAAACTCCCATCTCCAGGAGTTCTGACACTTTTACACCAATACAGATGCAGGCAAAGCACCAATGCACATCAAACAAATATTTAAAAAGATTTAGTTCACGGGTGTTTTGCCTGCATGTGTATATGTCTAGCACATGCATGCCTGCTGTCTAGAGGTCAGAAGAGGGCAGCAGATGCCCTGGAACAGTCCTGATGGATGGAGCAGTGGTTCTTAACCTTCCTAATGCTGAAATCCTTTAATACGGTTCCTCCTGCTGTGGTGGTGACTCCCAGCCCTAAGATAAGTTTTCATTGCTACTTAGTAACTGTCATTTTGCTATTGTTATGAATCGTCTAAATATGGTCATGCAGGATGTATTTTTGTTATTATAAATTGAACATTACCAAAGCAGCATAGTGGTTAACCACAAAAACAATTATATACTTATATATTGTAAAAACCTTTTTTTTGTTTTTGTTTTCTTCTTTTTGAGCCAGGGTTTCTCTGTGGAAATATTTATTATTAATAACAAATACACGGAATTTTGTCTTGAAGCATGGTGTGGCACGGGTGACAGTCTTAATATAGTGACGGTAAACTACATTGCTACATTTCTGGACAGCATTCGTCGTGTCAAAGTCAATGTCAGTGCGAAGGTTGAGACTGCTTCCTTCTCACCAGGTCAGAAATTCTCGGGGTGGTCTTTGCAAGAGCACAGCGAAGGTCATCCTCCACCACAAGCCTGCTCCTGTATTTAGACTTGATGACCAACAAGCTGGAGAACCCAGTTTCACAAAGATACGTTGTTGGGAATGGAAGGAGGAGGCGCAACACCATCTCAGACAGAACAGGGTACGACTGCAAACACTTGACCCAGAACTGTGTGACTGTCATTGTGGAGAAATCAGCTCTTGCCGCATCACTGTTAGTAAGCTCGACAAAGTCCTCTCGAGCCGTCTCGGGAACATCTTCAGCTCTGACCGTGAATGGGCTTCTGGCAAGTGCGAACGGGACCTCGGGTAGATGTGGGAAGTACCATGAAATTTCACCTGCAAGCATGTCCAAGTGTTCTTTCACGGAGATGACCACTGCAATCCTACTGTGCGGTTCAATGTCATGTTCCTCACAGAAAGCGGATAAGGTAGGCAACATGTACATTTTATTTTCATCCAATTTTTTCTGCCAGAGCTGAAGTTTCATTTGGAATGATTGGATCTTTTCAGACAAATCGAGGCATGTTGAGTTTGGCCCTTGCAGTGATACATTCAACTCGTTCAAGATGGTAAAGATGTCAACCAGATAAGCTATCTTCTGCAATTCACTTTTATCGCTGAAAAGTGCTTCGAACTGCCGTATTGCTTTCTGATTAAAAAACATTTTGAGTTCATCACGAAGCTCAAAAATACGTTTTAGAACTTTTCCTCGAGACAACCATCTCCCTTCGGTATGAAGGAGCAGGGCTTTGCTCGGAGCATCTAAATCGCTGCACAGCTGCACAAACAGTCGACTGTTCAAAGAGCTCGCCTTGATGAAACTGACAGAACTCAGGACACTTTTCACGGCTTCCTGTAAGTCTTGTGGCAGCGTCTTCATTGCTAATGTCTGCAGATGAATCATACAGTGAGCTCCGATGGCTTTTGGTGACTCATTTAGGACCAAACGCTGAAACCCAGATTGACATCCCAGCGTAGCTGGAGCACCGTCTGTACAAACACCACAGATGCTTTCCCAAGAGATCTTATGCTGTCTCAGAAACGAGCCAACTGCCTCAAATACATCAAGGGCAGTAGCTGTCCTTTCAAGAGGTTTGCAGAAAAGAAACTCATCTTTAAAGTCACCGTCATTAATATACCTCACGTAAACCATCAACTGTGAACAGTTTGCAACGTCTGTCGACTCGTCGAGCTGAATGCTGAAGATTGGAAGCGGAGCAGATTTAATTTCCTGGATTACCTGATCGAGAATATCAGCAGACATGTCATGTATTCTTCTTCGGACAGTGTCATTAGATAAGGAAACTGCACTCAACTTCGTAACAAATTCGTCTCCAATCATGACTCGAACACTGTCTTTGGCCACAGGGAACAGTAAATGCTCAGCAAAGGTGTGAGGTTTCATATCTCTGGCGATTCTGAGGGCCACCAGATAGGAAGCTTCCACGGCTGCCACGTTCTGTTTGTAGGACTTGCTGCCAGTGTCAAGTCTGGCTTTCTTGAGCCCGTCAGCTTTGCTTCTGAAATAGTTGGCATCCTTGCCAGCAAAGCTGGAATGCTTGCTTTCAAAATGGCGTTTCAGTTTGTTTGGCTTCATAGATTCCGCTGACAGAACCACCCCACAAATGACACACTGTGGTCTCTCGATTCCTACCGTGATGGTGGAGGTAAAACCATACTGTAAAAACCCCTCATT